CTCTTCTAATTTTAAAGAGTGGATAAATGTTTTTTATACTGTAGCAAGTTAAAAATGACTTTGTCAAAGTCCTTTAACTTTGATAATTGAAGTTGCTTAATATAACAATAAAGTAATCATTTAACTATTGAACCATTAGAACAATGTCAAAATTTGGCAATGGCATGCCAAACTTGGCATTTACGTTATATTTATTTCATTGAAAAATATTTTTGAAAAACTATTTTCATTATATTTTGACAAATGTTTTCTATAATCAATGAAAAATGAACTGATTTGAGAGGAAAATACTTTTTAAAAGTAAAAAATAATTTTTTAACTAGAATCTTATCGACACTACCAACCATTTTTCACCATGACTATTCCTGTCACCACAATCCTACCACCGTTGTTGTCGTCACACTATCACCATGACTATGACAATTAATATCACATTATCTTTAAAATCATAACTAAACACGTAAATATTTTTCATCGAAATAGAGTAAAAATAAAACTCTTGTGCAATGGAAGCACCTTCAAATGTTAGAACACTAATCAAAATTTATCATTCAATTTTGATTTAAAAAATAACCCTAGTAACATTAAATTTTCCCAAATAGTTATATAATACTTACTGTAAAAACCAAAAAGTAAAGCTAACTAATCAAAAAATTATTGTTCTGTTGCCCACTATTCACTCTCCACTCTCACTTCTGTAGTAAACCTTTTAATGCTAAGTTTTTGCACTCTTAACACTATTTTATTTTATAGTTAGTGAATGCTTGAACAATTTGAATATATCATATGGTTTGGACTATTACATGGTTTTTATCAAAATTAATGAGAAAAAAAAAATGAAAGTGAGAGCAACTGTTTGGTTTTTTAGTTCTTAGATATTATACCTGCTTCTGCTCTAAAATTACTTATATAAAAAAATTCCTTATAAAAAAAACTTGTTAATATAATGTTTTAATGCTGTGTTTTAGAACATAAATTTAAGAATTTTGTTTTTTTTACAAAAAAAAAAAAAAAAAAAGGAAAAGTTAAGAAAAGAAAGAAAATGAAATGGGGGATAAGACCATGACACTACTAAAAAAAGTGGGATTTTGCTTTCTGTTTTTTTTTTCTTGACAGTGAATTTCTCGATACTAATAATAGTTTCGTGCTTTGTTAACACGAGTAAGGATTCCCTCCTTGACTCCACTATTTGATGAGTTATTAGGTTCACTTTTAGATCTAATTTTGATAATTCAAATCGTTCACATTTTAAAATTTGTCATATATATTATATTTGTAAAAAATTAAATTGATCGAATATCAGAAGAGCTAAAAATCGTTTATTAAAAAAAATTAAATAAACAGTCTTATTGTTTAATAAAACTTTTAGTTTACGTGGTTTTTGATATCTGATCGACTTGATTTTTAAAAAATATGATATACATGACAAATTTTAAAATGTGAACGGTTCGGATTATCAAAATTCGACCCAAAAGTTGACCCAATAGCCCATCAAATAAAAAATTAAGTAAGAAAGTCAAGAAGGAGATCCTTGCTCTGTTAACACGGCCGGTTCTGACATTTTTTTCGGCCCAATGCGAGCTCTCAATAAGGGGCCTTTTATAGGTTTAAGGAAAAAAAAAATTTTGTAATCAACTGTGTGTTTAATTTGAGTTTTTTGGATTAAACTTTTTAAAAATTGAGTTTTTTTATTTTCATATTTTTTTATTTTTAGTAAATATTTTTAAAATTTTAACATTTTCTTTATTTTTTTAGATGCACCTTACTTAGATGTATCTAAAAAGTAAAAAAATTATGAAAAAATATTTTTAAAAATTAAAAAATACATAAAAATACAAAAAAAAAAATATACTTAATTCTTGTGTTTTTTTTTTGTATTTTTTGTATTTAGTGAATTTTTAAAAGGTTTTTTCACAAATTTTTTATTTTTTAGGTATATTTATGTTAGCTATGTCTAAAAAAAAAATTGCTTAAAAGATTAAAAAAATCCAGTAAAAATAAAAAAAAAAACACGAAAAACAAGAAAGTAGAATTTTCTGAAAAGTGTTTTTTAAAAAACCTAACCAAGAATCAAAAGATTATCCACTATTTTTTTTTTCTTTTTTTGACATAAAATTTACTTAAATCTATAACAAAGTAAATAAAAAGTATTTACTTAAAAATATCCAAAACAATCTATATGTAAGTACTGAATAAAAAGTAAACAAATTGTAACAAAATATCACTTAAACACCACCATTCTCACATTTTTAGTTGCAAAATTGCTAATCAAACTTGTATAATTCAACTTATCAACTAAATATTTTTCAATGGCTAAAATTATTAATCCATTTAATCTTTGTTGTGCCAGAGGTAAGATTTATTCAATCTTAAATTTGATTTTTTTTTTCTCTAGAAACAACTGTAAATGGCATAATTAATTGTATTCTAAACACAATCCATAAATTTGGAAAACAATCATCTATTAATTTCAAATAACTCATCAAATCAATAGGCTTTTTGATATTTTTAAAGTAAAAACAATAATCTATTAGTTTTAAATAATTCATCATATAATCATTTATTAGTTTTGAATCTTTATTGAATTTGTTGAGGCCTTTTAAATTTAGGTCGATTTTTTTCTATATACTACTATAATAGCTAAAAATATTTTGAAACCTTTTTTTTAATCAATTTTCGGGGCCAAAGCGGCGGCTTTGGGCCAAAACCGGCCCTGGTTGTTAAAAACAATCGCCAAAATTACATGACATAAGTTCAGTCGCTAGCAGCAAGTGATTGTTGTAGTTGATGCTTAATGCCGCTAATAAATATGATGCAAATAATTAATGTTATAGATGATTATTCTTTTTTAATCAATCAATAAAAAATTATTTATAAATATAAGGAGAATAAGATTACAGCAGACAAAACACACAAATCTACAAGTCCAATATACTTAAGTAAACCCAGCAAGTGTTCTTTACTAGTGAGTAGAAATTAGATAGGTATTTGTCAATTTTTTTTTTTAATCCTTGTTTTCCTTTCCTCTCATTAATTCCATATATTGCTCATTTCAATTGTATTTGAAATTTATGGCCCTTCAAGGTTACTACCCTTTATCCCAAATTGTTTATCCATTTTTGATATTCACACCCCTTAATTGAGTCAATAAATATTATATTTCTGATAAAAAAAATCAAAAATTTCCCCACAATTTAAAAGATCTTAATTAGTTCTTTAATTGTGTCAATAAACAATTTTTTTTGTAATTTTTTTTTTTTTAAAAAAAGCAAATTTTTTTCCACAAACTAAAAATCTTAATTAGTTCTTGTAGATAAAGTTTTCAAGATAAAAAAAATTAAAAAAATACAGACAAATTTTTAAAATGTCTAGAATAATAAAAATAGACAAACAATTTGAGACTAGGAAAGTACTAATTAAGAGAACATGTCTAGAAGAAAAAAAAGTGTGTAATTGTAACTCTTGGTAACTATAAAGTTACTTAATTGATGTAGTGTAAAAAATTTACTTCTTTTCCTCAAAAAAAAAAAAATATATATATATATACAACTGATCTTAAGGTTTAATAATATTATAGTGGTTTGTAATGGTCACATAATGGTTAGGCCATTCAGTGCCCAAATGAACTTATAATTGTATATATAGTGCTCGTTTGGCACGTGGGTTTGGTGGGTAAGATTGAGGTTATTTTAGTAATAAAAAAATAAAATAAATTTTTTAATTTCAAATTAAAAATTATCACATTCAATTTATAATTATTATGTTTTTTTCTCTTATAAAAATTATTAAAAAAATAAAAAAATTCATTTCAAACGAGACTATTTTAATCCCAAACTAAAATAACTAAAAATTAAAAAAAAATCAACTCACATCCCAAATTAACCCATACCATAGCCTCCGTTTGAAAAGTGGGTTGGCTTTTTGACTTTTTGGCTTTTTTAACTATATGAGTCTGGACTCAAAAGCTTAGTTTGAGAAGGACTTTTGACTTTTTGACTTTTTTAATTTTTTTGTGAGAGAAGAGTGTAATGATTATAGGATTGGATGGGATATTTTGTCTGTTGTAGCTCATGACCCTATTTTGTCTTTGATGACTCATTGAGTCAAAAAACCCAATGAACCCTTGCCAAACCAACCCTGAATATTGCAAAACTTTCTAAAATGAAATGATTGCATTGGTAGTATAATAGACAAAATAGTTGACTTAAGTGGCTCAAGTGCTTTGCTTCTTTGGAAAACTAATATTACAGCAATATATTCCATACCCCACAATTCATCAAATATGTGGGGGCCTATTAAAAATGAAATCATTTTCTTGTGAATTTTGTAACTAACCAGAACCTTAATTCTCAACAACTTTATATCAAATCATACAAATCATTACAAACCAAAGTCACAAAAGAACAAAACCTCTAGTAAAGGTTTGTAAATTTTTTCTTCTCATTTTCTTTTCTTTTCTTTTCTTTGCTTGAGAGTGGACCTTAGTGCAGCTATAAAGTTATTCCATCGTGACTTGACACACAAAGGTAAGACGGCATGTATCTGAACCTTCCCAAGCCACACATATTATAAAAAAATTGAGTCAATTACAATCACAACCTGAAATTTATTTAATATTATATTTCTAAAATTTTTTAATTTCATAATAAATAAGTCTTTTTATTAATAAATCAAATTAATTAACAATTTTTAATAATGTTAAAATTTTATTTCATTAATAATTCAGATAATTTTATTATTATATAGGTGAACGGTTAGAAATTTTACTTTTTCAATTAATTTTGTTAAATAAAAAATTATGACAGCGAGGTATTTGTAATTTTTCAAACCATAGGAGACAATTCGTATTTTAAGCAAATCTCAAAAATTGCATTTGTAATTTACCCATTTCTTTTCTATGTAATACATTTTTATCAATTACCTATTTTAATCGAAGTAATACCTTTAAAAGCACCTACCCCTTCTTATCCTTGACATTAATGTTATGTTTGTATCCTGAATTCATCAAGAAAAACGGCGTAAATATATATATATATATATATATTTAGTAAAATAGCAAAGAGTTCTGTGAATCTAAATTGTATAGGCAACATCTACTGGACTAACATCACTTACCTGATCAACTACAAGCTTGCAATATGTAAGAGAAAAACTGCTCAACACTTTTAAGACACTTTTAACAGGTTTTCTTTTTCTTGAAGTTCCCATATTAGGAGACGCTTGCACTGCTAAGCTCAACTTGTGTAACTGCTGTGTTAATTGCATCAATAACGTCCATTTTTCCCCTACTCACTGCTTCGTCCATGGGAGTCCGCTCGTGGCTATCAATCACCCAAACACCACAATTGATTCAAGTAAAAACGAGGAAAACACAAGCGAAGTTAATAACAGAACAAACGACGACGAAGACAACTACGATTACAACAATAACGATAGAGAGGAGAGTAACTGTGGTTAGACATGAGCTAACCTGTTTAGAACCGATACACTTGCTCCCGCTAAAATCAAATTCTTAACCACCTGAAATGGTAATGTTTTATCTGAATTTCAAAAATGCAGAAGAAACAAAGAATGGTAGAATGCCTGAGGAAACACATTTCTTACTTCAATGTGCCCATTGAGGCAAGCCCAATGAAGAGGAGTGTTCTTCTCCACATTAGATGCATTAACGTCCTGTTTCCGTTGGGGGTGGGGTGGAGATCTTAGTAGTTGCAGAGGATAAAAAAAAGAATATATTGAAAAACATATATCGACGCATTGTCTTTTAAAATACCAGAAAAAAATTTACTCATGACAACAGACTAATGAGACTCAGAAATAAATGCCCACTGGTCAAAACTGCAGTGAGAGAGAGAGAGAGAGAGGGGGGGGAAAACAGTTGTCATTCATTTGGCTGCTATGAAAGGTCAACATAACAAAGTACTTGGGGAGTATAAAGCAACTACTAGAATGGTATTGTTTCCTAAGGGCACAGCATAACCCCTCTTCCATTTTTAGGAGCCTAAATTTTCTTGCCCGTTGTCAAATTGTAAATCTATAGAAAACAAAAACTATAGAAGCACAGTAAAATGGTTTTTCAATGAAATTTCAAAAGCACTGCCTTAGTTCACAAGGCCAAGGGAACTACAATCTAGCAAAGAAAGCACACAACAAAAGCAAACTGGCTTATAACCTTTGAACACAACCAAGGGTATCATCATCAATGGAAAATCACCTTGCCTATTGTAGACATCCCGTTTTGACTACCCATAACAGTCTGACCGACTCTTAGTAGTAGGATCCATTGTTTGCAAGTTGGACATCAGAGATATCGTTGCACCAACTTAAAAGTGTTATGTTATGTGCTTATCTATGAAGTATTGACATTCCAAAATAGGTGTTGCAATGCTATCGGACATGGCAGGGACACGTATGGGACACGCAGGAACACGACAATTAGATTTTTCTCATATTCTTTAGTACTTTTGATGAATATTAAATGTTTCTTACTTTGTACTTGGATTTAAATAATCAATATATTAACCATAAAAAAAACATAACGATAAGAGTCAACTTAAAAGAGAGTTTTTTATTATTATTATTTGAATTAGTATTAATTTTAATTTTGATTGATTGTGAATGTAATATTAATCTACATAACAAATGAAAATATATGAAATAATAATAAAATTTATTGTCATGTCCATGACTCCATTTTTTGAAATCACTGTGTGCCAGTTCCATATCCATGCTTCTTAGGTGCTTATGCTTCTTAGTAGCTTGAGGGATATTTATGTACTTTGGACCATTCTAATATTAATGTGTGTTATGGGAGAGAACCCTAATTTCCGGCTCTCTTTCATTAGTTGTTTGTTGTATCTCTATCTTCTCTCTTCTCTTTTCCTTCTCATCTTTTTCTCTTATAGAACACTAAAAGGGCACCATAGCCAGCTCATAACTTACTCTATCCTCGAGAATTCTCGACTCTCGTAAAGAACATATGTCACATTGGATTTGCTCATGATACTTGATTTTCAACACAACAAAAAATTTCTTATATATGAAACCATATTTTATTCAAGCAACATGACAGAGGTTGCAAGATTTTTTAGTCTATACCACAAATTAAGAGCCAGCATAAACATGTCTGACATCAGTTGGATATCCAATCCCATTTCACTCATTTTCTTCAAAATACGTTAACAAATCTGATAGCCATATGAAATGGTATAAAAAACATATCATTATGATAAAACTATAAAGAGTGTCTAAGAAGCACAAACACGAACACAGGCACAGACACAAGACAAGGTAATTCTAAAAAATTTAGGTTATGGATGTGAGAATATTAGGTTAGGTTTATATATATATGGTAGTTTACTACAACATAACATCAATTACAAAATACGTAATCTCACTACAAATTAGCCTAACAAAATGTCCAAAATTTTGTGGTTCATGTAACAAAAGTTTTTGGCTTGGTTACGACATTTTTTGTTAGGCCAATTTTCAACGAGGTTACGCATTTTGTGGTTGATATTCTGAAATTTTGTAGTAAGGTTATGCCAATTTGTGATAGGGTGCATATGGTACCATAGGATTTCCCATATTATATACACATATATATATATATATATATAATTTATCATATTTTTGTTTGCTAAATATTTTTGTTTACTATGTATATGAATATAATTTTTTTCCCCTCTTTATTTCCATATATTTTACTTTGACCCCAAGTCATCTTTCTAAAAAAAATAAAAATAATGCTATAAAGGTGTCCCAAAACGTGTCTAAGCAAAAGACACATGCGTCCATGAAGTACCAAAAATGGCCTACAAAAAAAATAATAATTAAAAAAATTGACACCACATGGCCACGTTGTGTCAGACATGTTGGCGTCCATGAATTACCAACATGACCACAAAAAAATAATAATTAAAAAAATTGACACCACGTGTCCCTGTCGTGTCGGACATGTTGGTTTAGACGAGTGTTTACTAAGATAGATAAAGCATGCCAATACAAATCATTTAAAATAACGCCACTTAAATATCAATCAATTAAATCATATAAACAAGAAAAAATCAAATAATACTCTGATGAAATGGCTCCCTCACCACTCCATTTCTGATAAGATAGTCCACAATGTCAAGATGCCCATTTGCCGAAGCCATATGAAGTGCTGCAAGCATAAGTCAGCAAAATAAGCTAAATTAAATACAGATGGAAGTAGTAGTATTTTTCTGTTACTTCAGGGAGAACTTGTCCTCCTTTGTATCCGCATTTGTACTCTTATCTATTTTGATAATATTATTTCTTGTTGCTAATCAAAAAAATAAAATTACAGATGGAAACCATGAAATTATCAACACAACAACACTCTTTAGGTCCAACGATAGGACCATAAATAAATCTGTTCTGTTGTACCAGGTAAGGCTATCAAGTTTTCCAGTACTGAGATTAGGCACTTTTGGGACAATAAAATTTCAGGGATATCCAATTAGTCCAAAATGAAAATCATAACACATACTAAAGAAGTATGAACTTCATTTGGGGTCGAATCCTACGGAAAAGGTCCATATCATGAAAACCATAATTTCATTAAAGTCATAATTTAATGAAAGTTGAAGTCAAGCAACATCTACTTGAGCACATTATGAGTAAAACATTCAGAATTTGATTAAAAAGTTCCTCAAAAAATTAAAACCAGATGGATAAATTGAAGAATTGCTTTTGTAAGTGTTTGTGGAGACTATAAAAGTAGCCCATGGTAAGTAAGAAATATTTAGAAAATATGAATGTATCGAAAAAGAATGTCAAAAGTCTCAAGACTAAAGAGTAGTAAAAAGCATGTAATAATATGCAAAGAAAATAATCCATTTACAAAAAGTTAAGAAGTAGAACTAATTGAAAACAAGATTGGCCAAGATGGTTTTGATCCTTTGCCACAGTATTACAAAAAAAAGTATGTTTCAACTGGAAGGTGCTCAAGGGAAAATCCATAAAAAACTTTTCTTGTCAAGTTTATAAGATAAAGCAATGTAGTCCCTGATGTTTCAAAAGATATTACTCTCCTACTAGAGAAATAGATTCTGTATAACAGATGTCTCTACATGATGTACACCACTGGATCAACTCAGAAAAGCACTCTCCACTTTTCAGATAAGCATTTCAAGAGCTTTGGCCTCTATCTCTATTCTTCTCGGGCTCATCTTTCATCTATACTTTAGAGATAAGGAAGACCTTTTGCGCACTTCCTCTTGACATTCTTCTAATGTCTTATTCTCTGTCTTTGACTATCATTATGTGCCCTCCCTCTTGACATTCTTCTTACGTGTTATTCTCATTCTCTTCATCTTTGTCTATCATTTTCGTTACTCGTATCATTGAAGCTTTGGTCTCCCATTTCGCTTGTAACTTCCAACATTTGAAATCATTATATTAAGTGGCATGTATCAAATTAGTTCTCCCTAATTTTTCCAATTATCCAATCTAGATTTAGAAGCTCTGGTCTTCATTGATCATGCTTGGGGATTTTTTGATAACTCCTTTTATGTGTTTAGTTTAAAACATTTTGAGCGACTCTCCATTAGGTGTGCTTGATGATAACACATAATCATCTTCCAAGTAAATCTTAAATCGTGGCTTTCAAGGGTCATAATTTTGATGTTAGCTAACCTGCTTAACAATAATGTTGACCACACCAAAGTGAAATATGGTTAAAAATTCTAATATTAACTAAAACATTAATCATTATTAACATCTAAATTTAAAGAGTCGGTAGTAAAATATTTTCGCACTATTATTTCAGCAATAAATTTCTTAGTACTTTATTTTCAATTTTATCAAACAACTCCTTACTCTCATCCATCTCAACTTCATCATTTCCTTTCGCTCACACCAAAACACCATGCACTTGGGTTGTCAAACCAAAATGTTATTTAAGGTGAGGTGTCAATATCTCCTATGGTAGCAGGGTGAGGCACAGACTCCATCAAAATGAGGCTCATATTATAAATATTGCACAGTTTTTTATGAGTATTATGTTTAATAACAAAATACTAACCTAGTAAATATTATATTTTTACATGAGCTTCTTACTGTTGGGTTTGTAGACCTTGATAACTATTGTTCAATGGGCCCTGGGTCCAATGGGCAAGGGGAGGGGGGTCTAGGGGGCGCCTCTTTTCTATTGCTTCCGCATTGCCCTAATTTTATACTTATAAATAGACGAAGGGAACGCCTCTTTTCTGCAAGAGAGTTGTATTGTTTTTTGATCATAGTGAAAACCGCAACAACCATGGACGTAGCCCTATTTTGGGATGAATCACATAAATCCTTGTGTTTTTGTGTGTGTGTGATTTCTTCAATTTGTTTTATCTTTCTTGTTTGTTATTTCGTGTCTCATAGATCCTGGTTAGGAAGAGTCAATTCCTAACACTTAGTACCCAACACATTATGTCAAGCTTGATAACTTGGACCATGCACAATTTCAACTGAAGCAAATTCAAATTGAGCACTCAAACAATTAAAAGTAGTTAAAAAATTATACAACCCAGCAGTTAAGCAAATTAAGTAATTAAAGAACTAAACACAAAAAAAGGGAGAGAGGAGGGGGGGCACACGTTGACTGGGGTTGAGGCTCTATGGACTTGTTTGGCAGAACTTCTTCACAAAGGATTGTTTTAGAATGGACTTCACTTGAAGTCCTTCAAAAAAAGACACAGAATAATAAATTGTGTTCGGTAGGTGCACATTATAAAAGTGTTGAATCTCCATTCCTTATTTTAGTTTTAAAGTTGTTTTCCAAAAATCTCCAACTATAAATTTCTATTCATGAAATCCTCGGCTCCTAATTAGGGCAAAATGGAGATTTCAATTATTATCATTAAGTGTTGCAATCACTTTTCAAGAAGTGATTTCAAGAGGCAGTCTTGCAAGCTTCTGTTAAATGGACTTTTGGAGGCTGCACTTCCCGTACCAGTTCATTTTGAAATTTTTACCGAACAAAAAATTTGTCTATGGAAGGACTTTTGGGTTTCAAAAGCCCTTTGCAAAGTTCCGCCAAACAGCCTATATATTTATTTGGGGGGCCTTTGATAGGATGCATAACACAAAATTATAATGAGTTTCATTAGATTGAAAGGTTGATCTCACGTCTTTAACAAATCAAACACAATTAAAAGTAGCACGCGCATCATTGCGCCTCATGTGCCTCAAGCACCTTGGTTACAACTTCATTAAAGTCACCTCGCCTCAAGGGTGTTGTTGACGCACCTCAAGTGTGCGTCACACCTAAACAAGCTTCAAATAACTGTGCCTAACAATCTGACACCTAAAGGGAAACTTTTATTAAGCCTAATATCCAAATTAGACGATATACTTGAACATAAAATGGTACTCGAACCAAACACCATAATCAACAGAGAAAAAGAGCAGGAAATCATTAACTTCATACCCACTGTTGAGATCCAAAATCCCATCTCTCACTTGGTGGTATCAACTGAATAGCTGTTAATCATTGGGGTAACAGAGGAGGAAGAGATAACATCTCCAAGGAGGTGATTGATTACTTGAAAGTTATCTTAGAAGGTAGTCAGAAAATGCAATACACATATCAGAAATACAAGAAACCATGACTATGGTTGTAACCATCAAAAACATAGTTTTGTTCTTCTTCTTTTTTCATTTTGTCTATTCATGCTCTATTAACACAATTTAAAAACTACAATGTGCACAAGAACACATGCAAATCTAATTGCTAGAGCTAGAAGGAAAAACTGAAGAATAAGTCGTACATGTTATCTACAAATGCTTATAGAATGAGCAATTCAATAAGCGAGCTGAGAGAGAATTTGACCAATAAGCCCAATCAACAAATGAAATGAGCTACAGCTTTTTTTATTTATGCTTTTAACCACCTTTTTTTGGATAAGTGTTTCTTATCTTAAAACTGTACCACTCAAGTAAAGTTGACCAATTAACCTATATCAATGTTACTTAGCTCATAATAGCTTTCCAGATCTTTCATTTCAATCAATCAAGCTAAAGGATATGCAATGACTTATTTTATTTGATATACTGCAACAAAAATAAATAAATTCCTACAGCATGATTTTTAGTCAAACAAACAACTAAACAATTGACTAGACCTTCTTACAGCATAAGGAAGTTAATAGTAGCTAATGAAACAACAAATCAACAATCCAAACATTTTAAGAAGTATGAAAAATAAAATAGCATGAAAAAGTATGAAAAAAAAAAAATACACCATCACGAAGCAAATAGGCAAAAATGTGCATTATATGTCGCAGGTAATAACCTGTTCGGCCCTGTGAATCCTTGGAATCAAGAGAAATGCCAGCAGAAGCTAAGTTCGTGACATCATCAATATCGTCATATCTGGCAGCCTATAAAACAAAAAATAAAATATAACATAATTCAAGTTAACTAAATGACTAATGGAACAGTTAGCAGCCAATAGACGTAACCAAAATGTTTTACTTGGAAACAATAGTCCAAAAACTTTAGACTGGAGATAGGGTGTGATAAGCATATTAGTAACAATGGTTCTGGTAAGTCAGCCACAGTAAATTTAAACCTCAGTTGTACATGATCCAAATGTATGACATGGAGGTTCACTTCTAAAATTAAATTTTTTGCTTTAAGTTTCTCCATCAAGGAGAACAGACAGATTGAATGTTGTTAGGTGTTATGTGTTTAGGGGGTAACTATGTACTTTGAACCATTGTAATATAAATACATGTGTTTATGAGAGTAAGCCCTAATTCTTGGGTTTCCCTTAATAAGCCGTATATTGTTTCTTTTTCTTCTCTTCTCTTCCTCTATAATTGTAGAATATTTCAGTAATGCATTCCTTTTAGTGTTGGTACTTTCCATACAAAATTCAAACCAATTTCAGATTAATATGCACCAGAATATATGACATTCTATTGAAGATAAGATTATATATAAAAAGAGGAAGATATCAGGATATGTAAAGATCTCAAGATTTGTGCTTCCAGTACTAATTTTGCCTGTTCCTGAATCAATTCCACCCGCTTCAAGTAAAGCTCAACTTCCACCACTTTGAGCTTCTTCCATTTTTCCTCAAATTCTATCTTCGTAGGCCACTAATTAACTGCAATCTCTCCTTTATAATCACCTCCTCCAAACTTGACAATACACCAGTAATACTATTAAACTGAAGAACTGACTATAACATTGACACCCCTGAACCTGGCTCAACTTCTGTCATCATTTGTGAAACTTATGCTAATCCTGTACGAGAATTTGATAGGAAAGCAATGAATAGACAGATTGAATGTTGTTAGGTGTTATGTGTTTAGGGTAATTATGTACTTCAGACCATTTTTATATAAATACATGTGCTTATATGAGAGTAAACCTTAATTCTTGGGTCTCTCTCAATAAGCTGTATAATGTTTCTTCTTCTTCTATTCTCTTCGCTTCTTTTCCTCTATTATTGTATAACTTTTAAGTAATGCATTATTTTTAGTGTTGGTACTTTCCATGCTAAATTTGAACCAATTTCCAATTAATATGCATAAGAACATATGACATTCTATTGAAGATAAGATCACATATAAGTAGCTATGGAAGATATCAAGATCTATGGAGACGATGTGATTTGTGCTTCCAGTACTAGTTTTGCCTGCTCGCGGATCAATTCCACCCACTTCAAGTAAAACTCAAACTTCCTCCACTTTGAGCTTCTTCCACTTTTCCTCCAATTCTATCTTCTTATGACCACTAATTAACCACAATCCCTCCTTTATAATCACCTCCTCCAAACTTGTTGATACACTAATGATACTATTCAACTAAAGAACTTATTGTAACATTGACACCCCTGAACTTGGCTCAACTTCTGTCAATCATTTGTGAAACTAATGCTAAACCTGTATGCGGATTTGATGGGAAAACAATGAATAGGCAGATTGAATGTCGTTAGGAGTTGTGTTTAGAGATAATTATGTAAATTGCACCATTGTAAAATAAATACATAAGGTAATTCTATTTGCACACACTCATTTTATCAGTACCCCCCATCTCTCACTTTTTTTTAATTACAATTGTGTCCCTCAATCAAATTACTTTTTAGAGAAAATCCTAAACCCAAATTTCTCAATACAAACCTACACACCACCACCAGCCACCGCTTCTGCAACCTACCACCCACTGCTGCACCTCCAGCTTTGGCTTTAGTGTCGACGCCGCCCCCTCCCTAGCCCGTTGCCCCTCCTCATCCTTTCCTAATACCACCCCCTCGCACCTCCCTGCCTTCCTCCTCCTCCTTCTTCACCGCTGGCTAAAACCATGTGCGAGTTGGGGGTCGCGATGGATGAGGGTTGTAGCAGTGGTCACAGCAGTGAGGGCCTACAGGGGTGGTGGGTTGCAGCGGTGGGGGCTATGATTTTGGCTGGAAAGTAGGTCATGGTGGAGAAAAAACCCTAATTCTTGGGTTTCTCCTAATAAGCCGTTTATTGTTTCTCTTTCTTCTCTTTTCTTCTCTTCCTCTATTGTTATATAACTTGTAAATAATGCATTCTTTTTAGTGTTGGTACTTTCCATGCTAAATTTGAACAAATTTCAAATTAATATGCCTAAGAATATATGACATTCTATTGAAGATAAGGTTATATATCAAAAGATATGAAAGATATCATAATATATGGAGATCTCATGAAAATTACATCTCTTATTAGAAAAATTACATAATATTTAAAAAAAATTAAATAAGTATACAATGTGCAAGCAATGTGGAGAGAAATAATGAAGCAAGAATTAAAAAAGGGTGGGGGATGAAAAGAAACGAAAAGAAGTGAAAGATATTAAGAAGTAAGATTCTTTTAACAAGATCTATCATATAAAGCTAGAATATGCACATATGCCACATCTTTTGAATTAGTAAAAATAAGTGTTTTAATTAGTGTGAGGCACATGTAAAATTTGGAAAGAAATATCATACTCAAGGAAAGTTGGAGGTTAGACATGCACTTTGAGAAACAACTTCCAGTGAAAACACCTAATTCTAGTTCTTCAATGTGCAAGTGCAAAAGGCATCAAAAGCCTTAAGACTTGTGAACCCTATTCATGCAGACTAAGGATGACAAATAAGTATAGTAAAGAAGAATGCATGGTTCCATATTATTTTATTTTATATATAAAAAAATAATAATAATAAAATAACATAGAAATTTTGAGATGGGGAGATGCATATGTTGACGAAGAGAAAAAGCATTGCTTGGCATAATATGGTTTTGTAGGAGATTAGCAGCAGTTCCATTCATGAAAGATGATGATGTTTCAAAATATTGAAAGAAACATCCAAAGGTGAAGGCTAGATGGTCAACTTGAGGCAACGATGGTGTGGCAATGATGCAGCATGCCACATCGGAGTTATGGACCCGTATATACCCATGCATCTATTGTAGGACAACCATAAGTTTAAGAATTGCTCCAACAGTTCTATCATGCATGAAAACATCAATCGTTGGACAAACATTCTAGTCAATAGTAGGATGTTCATAAATTCATAAAAAAATAATAAATAAAATCAAGAAAATCTGCACAAAATTTAATAAGTAAATCATGTTAGTAATCCCTATGCTTTGGTTTTTATATCATTTTGGTCCATGTAATTTCAATGAGAAATTTAGTCAAAAGTCTCTTAACATAATTGTGTAGTATTAAAAGGATAAGTAAATATTTTCTAATGCATAAAGCCCTTCAAAATTTATTTATCATGGATTACGGACATAAAAAAAAAACATGTCTTCAATATTTACTCTCTCTCTCTCTCTCTCTCTCTCATCTATATATATTATCATCAATATTTCCAAGTTGAAAATTCCTACAAGATTGCAAGAGATGGCACCACAATCGAGTCGTACAACTTCGATAATTGCTATATTTCGAACCTTATTTATTGTATTTCAATGATTGTTTCGATCAAAACTTGCAATTGAGCCATACAAAAAATATGTATTTCGTTTGCTTCTTTGAATGAAACAGTGAATAATTGTTAAATTTTTTTTTTTTTTTTTTTTGTGAGATTGAAGATTGAACAATGTGTATTTCGTTTGTTATGATTATTTTTATTGAGTCTAATTGAATAACGAAGTTTTTGTTTGTTGTTATATTAATTTACTTTTGTTTACTTTAGTTTCATCAATATTTCCAAGTTGAAAATTCCTACAAGATTGCAAGAGATGGTTCCACAATCGAGTCGTACAACTTCGATAATTGCTATATTTCGAACCTTATTTACTGTATTTCAATGATTGTTTCAATCAAAACTTGCGATTGAGCCATACAAAAGATGTGTATTTTGTTTGCTTCTTTGGATGAAACAGTGAATAATTGTTAAATTTTTTTTTTTTTGTTTTGTGAGATTGAAGATTGAACAATGTGTATTTCGTTCGTTATGATTATTTTTATTGAGTCTAATTGAATAACGAAGTTTTTGTTTGTTGTTATATTAATTTTACTTTTGTTTACTTTAGTAATATGTGGCTTATGTTTTATTGGCTGATATGCTCTGTTTTAAAGTGATAGTAAAATTTTACTCTGGTTTGCTACATGTTTTTTGTTTGCTGACTTTGTTTTAAAGTAAAAATAAAATTTTACCCTGTTAAGATTATCATTTCATTGTTTTAATAAATTTTTTTACTCAATATTGTTACTCGTGACGGTAACAATTATAGTGACTATGGTGTTTAGTGATGATAATGGTATTTTACTATTTAAACACTAAAATTTCACAATAAAATTTACTGTGAATCAGAGTAAAATTTTACTGTGAGATAGAGTAAAATTTTACTGTTGATGTTAATTTTGATGGTAAAAATTTTATTATTCTTTTTTAAAGAATTTCATGGCCAACATAGATCTTATTTGATAGATCTTGATGAGAGAATTTTAACAATACTAATTTTATCAAAAAGCAATAGCTAAATTAAAAGTTATATCATTTTAAAGTTTAAAATATTAAATTACTCACTAAGGATATTTTAGTAATAATGATGTGTGGTGGACTTTTCAAGGAAAAAATTTTTGTATTTGTCATTAATGCATAAAAATTTTATTATAAGAGAGGCCTTTGACCAAATTTCTCAATTTCAATTAGTTTGATTTTGACTCTTAATTTTAGATTTTGTATAAAGTTTATTCAATTGATAATAACGTTAAAGTTTTTGATGGAAAATGATTATTAAGTTGGTTGAGATTAACTTATTGAGTTGAGAAAGTATACAAGGAGTTAAGGTTTTTGATGGAAAATGATCATTGAGTTGGTTGAGGTTAACTTGTTGAGTTGAGCAAATTTACAATTTTGCCCCTAAAAGCATAATACATTCCGCTTATGTGTGTATTTTTAACTAAAAAATGATAATAGTTGTAATCAACTATACCAAATTGAGACAAAGTTATAAATTCAGGATCAAAATTGAACCAATTAAAAGTGTTATGACCAAAACAACACAAGAAGCAAAATCTAGGGACTATGACAGCACCATCAAGGTTTACAATTACAAGCAGAAAATAAAAAGAAATACCTCCAAATTCAAAAAATAAAACACTAGAGGGGTCAAGATTTGCACTAGGTCTCTCTATTTAAGTTTATTCATGCCCCTATTGAAGTACTTTTGGTGCAATATAACTCAGCATACTTCCTACAAGATGCAACACTTCCACCACTCCCTGCAACTTCCCTTGGCATACATAACTTAGAGAGAGAGAGAGAAGAATATCCTAAACCTGTACCTTCAAGCATTATACAAGGCATTAAAACTTAGATTTGCAATGAAAAATTTAATATGTCGAGCTTATTGGTACCCAATAAATGAGAAGCCTGATCATTTTTCAGAGACAACTGTTTTTTGCAAATACATGATGATTGACATAGGCTCTGTTTGGTTGGGCTTATTTCCAGCTTATTTCAGCTTTTAACTTAATTTAAACTATTTTGATGTGTTTGGTTCAGCTTAACAATACAACTTATAGCTTTTTGTAAGTTAAAAATCAACTTATTCTTTGAGTGGGGGAGGAGAAGCTTAATTTATAAGTCAAAAATCAGCTTATGTTCACAGTTATAAGCTATAAGCTGTTAAGATATAAGCTATAATCACTTTTCTACAGTTCTACCAAACGGGACCGTAGTAAGTTCAAAATTAACTAATCAATCAATCAGTTATAGTATGTTCAGGTGGGGTAATTTGGTTAGAAATGAAGATAAAGAGAATTTTTTCTCATGTTTGGTTTTATAGATTAGATGAGAAATGAAGGGAAATTATTTGAAAGGAGAACTCTCGTATTTTGCCTATTTCATTTCACACTAGAAGTGGTGACATGTGATGAGAAACAAACTAATTGGTTATATAGTTTTCACAATACCGAGATTGCCCAGTTAAAATACATTAAAATACACACACCGAAAAATAAAATAAAAATCTCACTCATATCCCTCTCTTACCTGCCTTGTTTTTTTACCCATTCAAACATGATAAAGAAAGAAATATATATAATCAATTTTTTTCTTTTCTTTTCTCACCAAGACACCGCAATCATTCCATTTCTTTTCTCACCTGCTATACCACGAAGATTGTTAATTGGGTTAAGTTAATTTTTTCACCAATTGGGACCATTGCTCACTAAAACCTCCATCATAGTCTGGGCATTCACATAGTTGAGTTTTTCTATTCATGTTATAAAACATCACAAAGCTTAAGAACATAACTTTCCTTTCTTTTCCTTTTTCCTCCATTTTCTCAACAATCAAACAGATATAATTAACCTTAGCCCTCAAATTTAAGTTCCCACCAAAAATCACAAGAAGCCCATATCATGAACCACAGCATATAAGAAACAAAGACACAGATATATATATATATATATATAAAGCCGATGAGTGATCGTACCTCAAGCAAGGCCTCGACGTTCTCCGGTGTCGTTTCCACTGGAGTCTGCTCTGCCGCGTTCGCCTCCGCCCCCATCCCTGCGTGAGAGAGAGATACGGGAAACAAATGAAGGGAGAGCCAGTCCCGAGGAGGCTGATCTCGACAAAGAAGAGAGACCTGAGGTACGTGGTCGGCGTCCACCATATGAAGGAAGGCGGGGGTGGCAGAGATGTTGGAGGTGAAGGCGCGGAAGGCGGGGAAGGCGATGGGTGAGGTCTGTGTGACGGCCGGTGATCAGAGTGAAGGGACTGCAGCGACGGGTTAAGGTCAACAGTGGTGGTAGTACTCGAAGAAATTTTAAGGTATGTGTACAATTGTCTGGCGGGTTAGGTTGAGGTCCGGCGGACGGCTAAGGTGAGGTTGCCGCCCGCCGGTGAAGCGAAAATATTAGGTTCTAAACCCGCTCTGATACCATGTAATATGTAGAGGACACTGGATGCTAACCGGAATCAATGTCGGGTCAGTTTATAGGGTCATGTTGGACCGATGTAGAAGACACTGTATGAGTGTGTATATAGGCTGCCCAAAAGATATACATGTAGATATATATATCGAGCCCGCAAAAGTCGCGCCCTCAAAAGGCGCGCCCACTTTATCAAAAGATGTGCCCGACAGAAATCATCGAGCGGCGAGCCATCAAAAGGCGCGCCAGACACGCGGCGATGCACGTGACCGACAGAACGCGTGTCGGCCTCTTCGTCAGGGTCTTTATAAACCGAAGCGGAGGCTGAGGCTTGGAAGCATAACAAAACAGTTGAAACCTCTTCGTTCTCTGAGAGCTTGTCGCTAAGAGCTGCAAATCTTGAAACACTCTGTAACCAACCCTGTCTGACAGTACCAACACATAAATCCCTGTTTTTACACATTCAACACCTTATTCTTATTCTTGTTGTTCTTGCTTCTTCTTGTTGTTCAATATTGGCTTCTCTTATTCTTATTTTTGAATTTTTAATCTTCTTATTGTTATTGTTGCTTTTTACAAAATACAATGGGCTGTTCCTATTGTTCATACTGTTTCCTTATAAAAATTGCAACATCATAATGTTTCATTTCATCACTATACAAGTAACATATCTAAATTTATTCAAACTGCAAATGAAATTGCAAAATTACACAGTTTAACCACTACTCAAAACAAATAGTTAACTTATTATAAAGTGCAAATCAAACTGTCAAATTATACAGTTTCGTAACTGTTACCAACAAAATACAAATAACTTCATATTAAACTGCATATAAAACTTCAAAATTATACAGTTTTGTCACTATATTACTCATACCCTGCTGTCACTTTCATTTTTTCAGAAATAGCTGTTGGAAGATATTGGAAGAAACAAACCCATATGCCACAAATCCAATCAGGGATTTAACCATCTCCCCTTTTGAAAGTCCATCTCCTGTATCCACTATAATGCCACCACCATCTCCCCATCCACAAAAAACCAAACCACCACACCCAAAAACAACCAAACCAAACAGACCCCACCAAAAAACCCACAAAACAACCACACCACCTACAAGAAAAAGCCCAAGAACTACACCATAGACCCCACCCACCCAACAAACACCAACCACAACAAAAACAAACAAAAGAAAGCCAACAAAAAACCAAGAAGCTCCTCCAACCAAAAAAAGAAAGCTCCAAGAAAGCCAATCAACTCCCAAAACAAAAACGAAGGCATTAAAAGAAAAAAAAAGCAGCAATCCCTGCAAAGAGAGTCCAACAATTTAATTATCGTTCTAACATCGGAACAATAATCAAACTTTTGAAGGGGGCCAAATTCACAAAAGCCCAACAGACAGAGCTGCAAAAAACCCCTTTTTGGCCCCTTATAAATGCTCTCTCCTCAACACAACTGAAGGCCTCTTAGTGCAGATGCTACAATTCCATTGTAGCAGAAATGACAACACTCTACAACAAAAGAAAAAGATCATTTGTACTTGGCAAAAAGGAAATGAAACTCAGAAGCAATGATGTCAAGCTCATTTTTGGTATCGACTGTGGAGAAGACAGCATCACCACCAAATCCTATGCAAGACCAAAGGATTTTGAGCTTCCATTTTACAAACGAAGATGCAAATCAGTCAAGAGATTGGATGGCAAGTCTTTGACCAAAATGTTTCAACAAACAAAAAAAGGAAAATCAACCAATGATCGTCAAGATCTTGCAAGGGTAATCACCCTTTACTTGTGCTTGAAACTTCTCATGCCCACAACAGGCCATACACTCAGTTGGAGTTTCCTCAACTATGTTGACAATCTCAACAACATCAAGAAGTACAATTGGGTTGAGGCAATAAAAGACACACTGATAAATTCATTGGCAAATGCAAACAACAACCCAAGGCATGTCACTGGATGCGTCATGTTACTCTTGGTAAACACATTACTCAACTACTTCCTACAAAAATATCAGACATCCACCTATTTCTAACTATCTAACATATTTCAACTTTTTTTTTTTTTTTACAGTACTGGTACTGTGAGCACAGTAAACTCTTCCAACCATCCAACAAAGAAGGCTTCCCAAGGTTTATGAAATGGAACCTTGGCAAAATGTACTCCAAGTGGAAACACATCAGCATTGCTCACTTTGAAAAGGTATTCAAACTCTTCTATACTATCATAGTACAAATCTATTCAACACTCCTTTCATATTCATTGTAGTACAAATCATATTATGAAACTGTGAAAATTTTCAGTTTCAAAGCACACACTTCTTTAACATCACTCATGTTATGAAACTGTAACATTTTTCAGTTTCAAAAAACATATTTCGACACTTAACCCACATTACTCACAGTACAACTCATCTTGTGAAACTGACCAAATTTACAGTATTACTGATATATGCCACATTGTTCCAATGCAGGTTAACCAAAGTGCTTTAACCCCAACTGAACAAGAAATACAGTTATTGCATATTAATCAAAGCACATCAACAGACTCTTCAGCAAAGAAACAAGACCATAAAAAGGACAATAAGCAAAAAAAGAAAACAAAAGCAACAAAAAAAAAAGAAGACTTCTAGACAGTGATGAGGATGACTTTCTCGAAGAAGAACATCATTCAGAATTAGAATCACAATCAGAACAAGAAGAACAACAAAAAAAAAAAAGAAAAGAAAGCAAAAACTACAAGAAGAACCCGAAAGTGATGAACAAGAAGAAAAGAGTGATGATGAAAAAAATCAAGTGACTGATGAAGAAAAAACTGATGAAGAAGAAACTGAAGAAGAAGAAGAAACTGAAACTGAAGAAGAAACTGAAGAAGAAGAAGAACAACAACAACAACAAGAAAAAGAAGAAGAACCTGATGAACAACAAGACAATGACAAAGCAGAAGAAAGACAACAAACAAAAGGTGATCAACAAGAAGACCTTGATGAAGAAGAAGACCAACAACAAGAACAAGAAGAACAGCAAACAAACCAACAAGAAGAAGCCAATGAACAAGAACTGACAAACCAACAAAAAGAACTGCAAGAGAAATCTAACATATTTCATGCACAAGGTAAACTATTGTCTAATACTAAAGCATACTGCAAAATTTCATTAAACTAACCAAAACACAATCCAATATTTTTATAAGTCATGGCCAACCACAAACACCAACCAAAGAGGACGACAAGGACAAGCTCATATCAGCCATGAGAGCACAAATGCAAGAAATGGAACAAAAATTCATGGCTGAATTGCGTAAAAAAGAAGATCAATTGAAGGAAATATCCACCAAAAAAACTGGCAGTCCCCAACAAAGATCCATGGTCAAGAGAATCAAACAAAAATCAAGAAAACAAGCACATGACCTAGATTTTGAATACCAACCAATGACCAAACCCAAAGAAGATGCAAGAAACAAGACACAAACTGCTGCTGATGTACCCAAACCAACACAGGGTACCGATGAAGAAAAAGAGAAGAAGAATGACAACAAAAAAGAGGGTGCTCATGAAGCAAAACAACAGTAGAAAGAAAAGATGCAAGAACATATTGGCCAAGAGAAAGCAGTTACTGCTGAAACAAACCCAAAAGAGCATGCCAATCAAAAGGAGACAAAACTTCAAGTATTGGAAAGTGATGATGATTTCCAGGAAGAATCAATCCCAAACAAGCCACTTGCCATTTCATGCCGCAAAACAAACAAGGTTTGGCATACCCTATCCAAAAAAGACCAAGACCAAATTCAACTCATCAACAACACACAATCAAGTGCTTGTGTCTGGTCTGGCAGCGAAGATGAAAACTGCGTATACTTTTCAGATATATGCAGATTGACCAACAGGGAACCCTTATATGGGAATGTAGGTCTCTAACTGCACAATTTTACAGTTTTTGTACATATTCAATAACCTATTCCACAAACCTAACACATTCTCATATATAACATGTTTCAGGTCATTGATGCATTCTCAGAAAAGCAATTGGCACTCCAACTAACCATTGAAGAATTTGAGAAAAACGATCTAGTCTTTGCAAGCAATCCATATGCAGGAAGATCTTACGTTTTCTCAACACTCATCAATGTAAGCAAAACTTAACATACCTTACAACTGCAAAATTTTCTACTTTCTCAACATGTATTACTACATAGTTTTATAACATATTTCAAACATATATATAACTTACAGACTCCACTACAAAACCAAGATCAAGCACTAAGAGAAAAACTGATGGACAGCCATTTTCCAGAAGCAATGAAAAACAAATATATTCATTTCCCAATCAACCACGACAACCATTGGACAATTGTGGTCTTTGACAATGCTGATGGAATATGGAGACACTATGACTCTTTGAGACCAGCAAAACATTGCCATAACAAGCACTTTGAAATTGCAAAACAAATTGTGGTACGAATTTACAAATCCTTTGAATTGTGTAGTTTTATAATAGTTCTAGTGTCGTGAACCATTCTATTTAAATTGATAAAAACAAATTATATTACGTCTCGATTTCAACTTCGTAAGGCCC